AAAGAAGCTATCGAAGGAAAGATAGAGGGGCGGATAGAAGTGACAAGAAGACGAGGAAGAAGACGTAAGAAGATGCTGGATGACCTTGGGGACAGAAGAGGATACTGTCATTTGAAGGAGAAAGCTCTAGATCGCATTAAGTGGAGGAATTATTTTGGAAGAGACTGTGGACCTGTCGTCTTGACAGATTACTGATGATGACTAAAACATGTACGCAAGTTACCCCAACGTTTCTGGATTATTATCCAGAATTATCCTGGAATAGTAAAAGAGAGATATTAAATATTGGTATAAAACATAAAAACAGGGAAAACTCTCCATAATAGGAAAACAATATTAGGAAAAGTTTATCACTAATCGATGTGTTTTTTCAGGTATTTTGCAACTGGCGTTAGTTTCCGTGCGCTTTCATTTGAGTTCTTACTTGGGCCATCCACAGTCAGAAGCATTGTGAGATCAACTAGTGATAAGCTGTGGCAAGTTCTGCAGCCAATCTATATGGCATCCAAGACAGAAGAGGAATGGACTGAAGTGGCACATCAGTTTCTTAAAGGTCCTAATTTCCTTAACATTATTGGAGCAACTGACGGGAAAAAAATGGCCATGTGACAGCGGCTCCAAGTTTTTTAATTATAAGAAATTTTTTTCAGCGGTGTTAATGGCTTGGCAGACGCAGATCACAAATTCTTATTTGTAGAGATCGGTTCCTATGGTTCATCAAGTGACGCAACCATTTTCAGAAACTCTAATATGGGTAAGAATGGGTAAGAAATTGGAAAATGGAGAATTAAATATTCCGATTGCCAGCCCTCTACCAAATGACGTTAATGGAACACCAATGCCATTTGTGGTTGTCGGTGATCAGGCCTTTGGGCTATCCAAACATGTGTTGCGACCGTTCCCCAGAAGAAATCTGAGTATTCAGAAAAACGTTTTCAACTATAGGCATACAAAAGCTCATCGAATAGTGGAATGTGCTTTCGGCATTTTAGCAAGTAAATGGCACATTTTTTATCGCCCCATTGATGTTGTAGTAGAATTTTGTGATTCTGTAGTAAAAGCCTGTTGCATGCTGCATAATTACGTCTGGCAGAAAGACGGTATTCACTTTATGGATACAGTGTATGAGTGCCCACTTGAAAGTATTCCTCCTTACGGAGCTCGTGGAAATTTATCTGGAATTAATATTAGGGAGTATTTCACTTCTTATTTTACTTCCCCTCAAGGAGCAATACCATGGCAGTATGAAAAAGTGTAAGTTCATTTCAAAACTTGTTAAATCTTAAACAATTTTCAGAACTGTATGATCACTTTTTATGTAAGTCATTACACTCATTACACTTCAGTAACAACTGTCAAGGAAATAAAAATTGATCATGCTAAAAATACTGTGTGTAATATATTACAGAAAACTTTTGAAATAAACAGAAGTGCTTGTACTATATATAATTAGTATATATATATATATATAAATACAAAACATTTAACACAAATTTATTGTCTTAAAGTATTATATATGGCACTGTATGTAATTTATGAAGATTATAACTACCTAAAGTATAGATAATTACCTTCAGTTTTTTTCTCTTCAGGAGCCAAACCATTCCAGTTTTCAATCAAAGCGGTACACACCTCTTCCCACAACTTCTTCTTATGTATCAGAATATTCTTTACACGATTTTAAATAAAGAGCTGGCCTTTTCTCCACTTATTCTATAAGCTTTTCGATGCTCTGATCCCACATGTTGCAACTAGAGGAACTAGAGCGAGCGCGAAGACAGGCAGGAAAAGACGCAACTTGTTGACTGAAGGTCAAATCATGCCTGATTTCCAGTTGTATGTGTGCGCACTCCCATAACAGCTCATGTACAACGGTGTTATCACCAACAGTTGGGTCGGCAGGCAGTTGAGGTAGAGCCCAACTGCTCACCAACTGTTGAAACAACTATCGTTATGTGTGCGCACTCCCATTAAACGCAATGTTTCTCGGCGAGGTGCCCCACTATCGGCCAACTAAAAATTGCATGTGCACACTAGGTCTAAGAGTGAGACTGCACTTGAGTCTTGGAAAGAATGAAAACAGATCCATTTCCCACCCATCGACAGCATTATGAGTTTCTCAGAGAAGTACTTCATTTGTGTGTGTAAGACCACAACGTTTCAGAGACTGGATCTGTCTCCCTCCTCAGGTGAGTAGGGCAGGATAATCCTACGAAGTTGTGCCCATTAGAAAGAGCTAGTCTCAATCACTGGACAAACCCCAGGCTGTAGAAAACAACCTACGAACACCCAACAACCAGTTCCATCAGTGGGATATAAGAATAAAATCACAATAAAAGATGTGATAAAAAATTTGTGCCAAGCATGCACATGTCAACAATGTAAACAACTGAAGTATAGATTAAATTCCAGGAATTCATTTATAAACAAAAGTAAAAACTTGAATAATGCATGCCTAATCTGTGTGAATAAAGAATCGTGCCACCAGGGCGACTTCCAGGAATCAGACTAATCCCTGGAGCAAAACTTGCAGAAGTAGTGGAAGCCACTAATGTTCATAAAAACTTACATTTTGATTTGTTAACCTCTTCATTGATGAGGGGTATCCATATGGTAGAAATATCCAAACTGGGTTGGCTGTTTGGATTGGTTGAACATGTCATGTGAGCTGATTCTTTGTACTTTACGTATCTGCTGTATCTACAGACCGGGGTTTGTCCAGTGATTGAGACTAGTTCTTTCTAATGGGCCCAACTGAGTAGGTTTATCCTGCCCTACCCACCTGAGGACAGAGACAGATCCAGTCTCCGAGACGTGGTTTTTTGTCTTT